ACCCCTGGTAACCAACAAAGAAAATGTCCTCCAATATATAAACCTTTCCTTAACTTTCACAATAACGGACTAATACAATATTTGTCCTTTTGTGCATGGTCCATTTTTTTCACTCTTTGCCAATAGCTGGGGAAAAAAAAAAAAAAATGAGTTCCTTGTTTTAATTTCACTTCCTTGTATTTTAATGCTGTTAAGGTGGGGGAAAGGCGCCCTGGTGGCACAATAGTTTAAGTGCGTGGCTGCTGACTGGAAGGTTGCTGGTTTGAATCCATCTATCAGATCCACAGGAGAAAGATCTAGTGATCTGCTCCTATAAAGATCATCGGTGCATAGTGACACTCTAGGACAGATAAGAACTGCTCCATAGGGCTTCCTAGGCTGTAAATCTTTACAGGGGCATATAGCTAGGTCTTTATTTCCCCATAGAACAGATTGTGGGTTTGGTTAGCAGCTAAGTGCTTTAGCTATGGTGCCACTCACAAAACCAAACTTACTGCTGTCGAGTCAATTTGACTCATAGCGACCCCTGACTCATAACGACCCCTCTCTGGCTTTCTCTACAGAAGTAGATTGGCCAGTCTTCCTTCTGACACTAGGCTACCTCTCATAAAGATGATAGCCTAGGAAACCCAATGGGGGTAGTTTTCTGTCGCAAGGGGTCGCTATGAGTCAAAAGCAACACAATGGCACCCAACAAGAAGGAGGGAAGAATATTACCCACATAGCAAGGTTCTGTACCAGTAAAATAGTGATGACATTAAAGTAATAATGGTAACTATCATTGTCAAGGGCTTAACTATGAGCTGTCACTGACTGAATGATATGCGACCCCACTTCATGTCCCTGAATTCTCCCAATAGCACTGTGAGATCTCTCCCTGGCCCTCAGTGTTCTTATCTGCAAAATGGAGCTGATGATAGAACATATCTCAAGGACAGTTAGCAAGTCAATGAGATAGTCTTACTAAAGTGTTCAGCACAGGCTGAGTCCTCTAAAGGGACATTTGTCCAAGACCACATAGCCTGCAAGTGGCTGGTATCAACTTAAGAGAATGGACCGAATCCACCAGGTCCGTCCCCCTGGTCTGTTCAGATTTCAAGGCCTTGCTACGCCCCACTGCCCTTGGTCACCTTTGCCTGGAGAAAGACGAACTCCCCACCAGGGGAATTTTAAAGAGCCAGCTGATGGTCATATGCCGTCCCTGCCCTTTGACCTACCTTCTCAGTCTGTCACCATACCCTAACATGGAGATTATCTGAGACAGGAGGTGTTTGGGACATCACGCCTGCCCTTTTACAGTTGGGGAAACTGAGGCCAGGAGCAAGAAGCCTTGCCCAAGGACACACAGCCACTCCCTGCAGCTTCTCAGTAGATGCCCCTTCGCCCTGGTTCTGCCTCCCTGTGAGACACCCTTGGGAAAACGTCTGAGTCTCCTCTTTGCTTCTTGTGCAAAGCTCAGATCCCCTAGAAACTTCCACCTAGTTTTCTAGCATTGCCTCTCCCTTCTGCGTCCACGCTGGCCCCTCGCCCTCCAAAATACCCAGAATCCTTACAATTTAAAAAAGAGAGCAGGAGAGAAAACATCCTGTCTTTGGGATAGTCTTCTTCTTCTTCTTCTTCTTCTTTTTTTAAAAAAGAAATATTGCAACACCACAACAGATAGATGTATGTTGGAAACTGACGGAACTTGTTGTCAGATGCTGAGTCGGTTCTGAGTCACAGCGACCCTGTAACAACAGAACAAAATACTGCCTGATGCTCTGTGGAACTTAAAGGTATAAATACTTATGTGCTCCTTCATCAAATTTAATGTCTGCATGGTAGAACTTGGCTTAAGGAGTCTTATCATAACCAGGTAGCCAGATGGTGAGGGCATCCTCAATGCAGCCTCCTGAAGGTTTCTGGAGCCTAGTACCAGAAAAACCAGTGTCAGCCAGCAAGGCTTCTGTGTGTCTGTTGGTCTCTAAAGGCTTGAATGGGCTGCACCTTTGCTTGGCTAGGCTACCTGGGTCCCTAGGCCTGAGGCCGCCTCCAGCTGAGCTCTCTATGCCCTGCAAGTTCTAGTCACAATTCCAACTGCTTGTGGAGGGGAAGGGATTGACACCTTCCACCACACAGTTGTACAGGAGAACCCTCAAGAAACAAGGTGGGAATGAAGCCACATAAGTCAGGAAGATCAGTGAAAGCCTCAGTTTAATTGGAGACGTGATCGAAGGATTGATTATCGATCAAGAGACCGATTGATCATCAAGTGGACAACACACAAGAAGCTCATGGGGGTCTTGCACCCACCCTGGGGAGAGGAGCCCTGCTTGGGGTTGGGGGACCGTCTTGCCAGTCACCCCAGCTCCTCGGGAAGGGGGAGGGGTCCGGCTCTGCCTAGCCCTTCACCCTCTGGTGACACGACTTCCCAGGTCTATGGTACAGTTTATATAATACAACAGGAGTGGAAACTCTCCTTTGGGAGGCCCCCTCCCTCCTTCCCCTGCCAGGGCAGCCAGGGAACGGCAAGTTTTATTTTTCCTTTTTGCCTCTGTAGAATAATTTACAAACCAACCTTAGAGCATGTATAAAAAGAAGGAAAACGGAAAGGGAAAAAGAAAAGGGCCACTCTGCTCGCCGGCTGAGACAGAAACTGCTTTTGCTACAAAAATAAACCCTGTACAGCATCATGGGGCTGGGAGCGAGGGCTAGTCACCTCTGGGATGGACAGATCAAAGGCTAGGCTGGGGTGGGGGCAGGAGGGACTGGGGGCTACAGTACCTGTGTGCTTGGAATTGGGGGGCGGGCAATGAAAGAGACAGCCCCTGCCTTGCCAAGCTGCAGAGCCAGGCTGAGGGGCATGCGGGGAGAAGAGGGGGGTCTTTCCTTCTAAGCAGTCCCCCATGGCTTAGAGAAGGTGGTCTTGCATCTGTCTGTCCTATTGCTGGGGGAACAGCCTGGTGAGAGGGCAAGTAGGTAAGGGGGTCCACAGGGATGGGCCAAAGGAGAAATGACTCTGGTGCTGGGGTGGGGAGGGAGTGCCCAAGAAGGGGGATGTGGGTATACACCATTATTGCTTCCTCCTAGGGCAAAGGGATGGGTTCTGGTCAGAGTCTGGAGGGTGCTGGGAGAAGGATGGGGGGTGTGGCCAGGATGGGGGCTCTGGTCTGGCCCCGCCCTACTCCAGGTGCAGGTGGGAGCCACTACAACCCCCTCTCCTATGGCCACAGGGGTCATTAAGGCAGAAACAAGAGGAGAAGCAGCTGTAAGGGGGGTGCACATCAGAGTTGCCCCCCAAAAACGGAAAAATTTCCAAATAAACTGGAAGGGGAAGGGGGTGGCAAGTGGAGGGGGGGTCAAGCCTTCACCAAATCAGGCCCAAGGCTGGTGGTACCAATGACCCCTCACCCCTAAAGTGAACAGTTCCCCCACACCCCGTTCCCCCAGTCAGTATTGCCAGGTTTGTGGAAAATGAAGCGGAAGACTTCTGGGGGCAGGAATCCAGGGAAGGGCTGGACTGGGGCCGCCCACAGTGACCCCCCAGCCCTACCCAGAATGGCTATTCCTGGCCGGGTGCTAGAGACCCTCCCAAATTCAGGAGAAAAGCCTGGAGGGGCTCCCCAACCCGGGCTTGGGCCTGGGCTAAGAGGCCGGAAGACTGAGCCAGGAACGTGGGGAGGATACGGAAAAAGGAGCTGGGAATAGGAGCATCTACAGTTGCTGTGTTTCATTCTTTTTTTTTTTTTTTTTCTTTTTCTTTTTCTAAAAATGTAACAATTAAAATTCAAAAAATAAAATCCCTTCCCAGACCTCAGCCCCTCATTCCTCAGCCCCCACCTCCAATAAAAGGCCCCATGGGTGGGGGTGGGAGGAAAGGGGAAAAAAAGAAAAGAGAAAAAAAAACACTTTTCTGTTTTCTTTTTTCTCAGGCCCAAGAGTCTTTGAGGCAGCAAAGGAGGTGGTCGGGCAGTGATGGTGAAGGCGGGCAGGGAGGGCAACGGGGTCTGGGTGCTGGGGTTCAGGCTGGGCCTCCACTTGACCCCCACCCGCTGGGAGCTGGAAGTATGGCCGGGTCCTTGCGAGATGTTCCAGTACATGTGCTGCAAGCTCTCTTGGCGACCTGATGCTCCCTTTGGGCCCCCACCTCGGCCGCCATGGAGGGGAGGCCCTGGAGGCCCGGGGCCGCCACTTCAGGGGGTGGGGTCCTCAAGGCAGGCAAAGTGGGGCTTTCAGGGGACAGGGCAGGGGGGCTGCTGTGGCTTACGACATTCAAAGCCACGGATGCGTCTCGGGATGTAGACTGGTCCTGCGTCCCAGACCCGTTCTCAGCTGGGTCTGCGGGCTGCATCAAGTGCACTTCCTCTAGCTCTACCTCTATGCTTGTGTCATGGCTCTTGGCCGCCAAGGGCTCCTTGGCTGGGGACGCATCCGGAGCCAGTGCACATGTGTCTTCAGCCATGGTGGATGCTTTCTGGGCCAAGGACAGCTCTTGCACTGTGAATGCCTCTTGGGCCGCGGCTGTTAGCTGGGCCGCTGTCACCTCTTCCTCTTCTTCCTCCTCCAGAGTCAGCTCAAACTGGAACTTATCGGGTGGGGGTGGGTGGCCTAGCCCCCCGGGCTCCTCCTCGGGTGGTGGTGATGGACTCTGCCGAATGGCGCTATAGTACCAGTCCCGGTTGTCCTCCAGTGTATCCAGGATCTCCTGGGCATCTGGGTGGACCAGGTCAGCCCACGTCTCCCACAGTGGATGCACGATGTAGTCGATGAAGCCCACCTAGGAGAGGAGAAAGGAAGTATCACCAGGTGGCCTGCGGATGGCACACCATGTTGTGGAATCTATGAAAACTATAAAGATGTCTGTACCACTTGACCCAGCAATTTTTGCTTCTCCAGATCCACCCTGGAAAAGCTCTTGCACAAGAAAGAAAGAAAAAAAAAAAAAATCATATATGAGAATGTGAACAAAGACTGGAAACATGCTGGTGCATCATGGAGGATTAGTTTTTTTTTTTTTTTTTTTTTAATCATAGTACATTACAGGTGTTCACTGCAGGTTATGGTGACAATGAAACCACCTCCATGAAATGGCAAATGGCTGGCTAACGCCCTGACTTCCCCCTCCTTCCTTCCTTTTTTTTTTTTTACATTTATTTTGCTGTTATTGAAAATATATATATAGCAGAACACACACCAATTCAACAGTTTCTACAATTCAATGATGCTTATGACATTCCTTGAGAAGTGCAACCAGTTTGATCCTATATAGACAGTTCTTAAAAAAGCACCATGCTCAAGGCAGGCGTTGTTTACTAATTAAGCTAAACTATCGTTTGGTTTTAAGAAGACTTCACCAGACATTTTTGGTTTAAAGATTATCTCAGGGCAACGGTTTTGGGGGTTCTCCAGTCTCCGTGGCTCCAGAAAGTCTGGATGCCGTGAGAATTTGAGATTCTGTTCTGCTCCTTTCCCTCCTTATTCACAGAAACCTGATGTTCTCATGGGAGGCAATGCATTCAGTTGGAAACTGTCTTTCCCAGTCTCCTCTGCAAAGAAAATGTGGCCACGTGACCATCTCTAGATGGAAAGTGCTGGGGGCTGCCTCAGTCGGCACTGGCTTTTCCTTCTTGAAGTGTACCCAGAATCGACAGCATCTGTGCCTGTGAGAAGGACCCCTGGTGGCACAGTGGTTAATGTTGGGTTGCTAACCAAAAGGTTGGTGGTTTGAACCCACTAGCTGTTCCACAAGAAGATGTTGGCAGTTACTTCTGTCAAGATTTCAGCCCTGGCAATATACCAAAAGTAAGTGACCAATACAATAACACTAAGGAAAAGGAAGATGAGAGAGGTGCATAAGAGACACGGAGGACAAAGCTAAACTCTTACATATGCAACACAGCATTAACAGTAATAACAAGTATTAATTTATGGGCAGATACCTAGGTAGACAGGCTGAGTGATCAGGTCTGTCTAGGCAATAGGTTGGCAGATGCTATTTCTACATATGCACTCATATGTGCTGTAGGAATGTCTATACATATAATGGAGCTAACAAAGGGCGAAGTTAATGATGATTTCTTAGCCACAGCCAACCACCCTAAGGAAGTGAGTTGCTGGACCTACGGACTTGACACCATGGGCACGGGGACATCAAGCCCAACTGGCATAATATACTAGACAAAAACACCGTTCTACAACCTACTTTGGTGAGCGGTGACTGGGGTCTTAAAAGCTTGCAAGTGGTCAACTAGATACAGCAATGGGTCTCTCCTCGTTCAGAGCAAAGAAGAGTGAAGAAAACCAAAGACGCATGGAAACAATTTGTCCAAGGGACTAGCAGACCATATGCTCCTCAGCCTATATGGTCATGAGACCAGAAGAACTAGATGGTGCCCAACTACCACTGTCAACCACTCGGAGGGGGATCAGTGCAGGAGATCCTGGGTAGAGTGAGAGAACAATGTGGAACAAAACTCAAAATCATAAAAAACAAAAACAGGTTTGCTGGTCTGATAAAACCTGGTGAGACTCCTCAAACTATGGCCCCTACTTACCCTTCAGTTCTGGAATTGAACTCACTCCTTTGGCTTCCAACCAAGCAACGGACAGGCATATGGGGTGAACATTTACATCAGGTAGATAGACTCCTTGGAGCAATCAATCGTGAGAGAACAGAAAGGCAGTGTTTTCACCAGGAGACAGCTCGGGGGTGGGAGTGCAAAGGAGGGAAGGACACAGGGAAGAGGTAACTATGGGGAGGAAGTGGGAAGAGAGCTGTTACATTGTGGGGAATTGCAGTTAACGTCATGAAGGAAAATGTGTATGAACTGCTGTATGGGAAATGAATTTGCTCTGTAAACTTTCACCCAAATCACAATAAAAATTAAAAAAAAAAAAAAAAGTCATAGCCTTGAAAACCCTATAGAGTAGTTCTACTCTGCACCCATGGGGTCACCATAAGTTGGTATCAACTTGACAGCAACAAACTAAGACAGCAACGATAGACTTTTCTTACATGAGATAAAAAAATAAAGCTTTCTCTTGTGTAAATCACTATGCATTCCCAACAGCTAAAAACCTAAATGTCCATCAACAAGGGAATGACTAAATAAGTCATCATCAATCTCTATCTACTGAAATATTAAACAAACAAACAAACAAAAAAAAACCTCACTGCCATTGAGTCAATTTCAACTCATAGCGAGCCCTCCATGGGTTTCCAATCTACAGAAGTAGATTCCTTTTGAGGAGTAGCTGGTGGGTTTGAACCTCCAGCATTGTGGTCAGCAGTCAAATGCCTTAGGCACTGTGCCACCAGAGCTCCTACTGAAATACTAGATAGCAGTAAAAGATGTCATTGCTGGGAGATAAAAGCAAGCTGTGTAATAGGTATACATTGGTATAATTGATAGTCAAAAAAAAAAAAAAAAGGCTAAACCCACAAACTATTGCTATTGAGTTGTATATCAACACAATTGTATAAAACATATAGAACAGTGGTTCTCAAAGGGGTGGGAGTGGGTATTATGGGGTAATTCCTCCCCACGGTATCTTCCATTGACTCATATGCATGAGAAAGCTGGACAATGAATAATAAGACTGAAAAATTAATGTCTTTGAATTAGGGTGTTGGTGGATGTCGTAGTTAAGGTTGTGTGTCAACTTGGTTGGGCCTGGTTTTGAGTGGCTGGGCAGCTGGATGTAGTTATTCCCCATGATGAGACTGGTAATGAGTTACGTGGTGGAATCTACTAGAGCGGCTGAGTAGCTACCTTAGGGATGGGGTCTGCTTCTAGTATACAAGCAGCAGCTTTGAGGAAGGTCTCTAGCTTTTAGGCATACTTGGACCCTGCATGTAGCCAGGTCTTCATTCAGCTGCTTGCCATGTTGTCTGCCAGTCTTGGAATTGTTCCTGGACTTGAACTAGTGGCCTACTGTGCTACTTGATAATCTTGCAACTGTGCCATTTTACTTGTCAACCTTGGGTTTGTCAGCTTTAGCAGTCAGCAGCTGTCCGAGTGAAGAGAAGTCTCCAGCTCCAATGGGCCAGGAGCAAGAAGCAGAGCTGAAGCCCATGATTGAGGGGCCTTCACCCAGCCCCTAGAACTGATATTTTTAACTCAGACTTCTAGCCTCCAAAACTGTAAGAGAGTAAACCCTTGTTAAAGCCACTCACGTGTGGTATTTTCTGTTGGAGTGGCATAAGAGAACCGAAACAATGAAGAACACGGAATATACCATGGACTGCCTGCACAAACAACTCCATCTTGGAAGAGCCAGAATGCTCCTTAGAACTGAGGATAGTGAAACTATGTCTCACGTAGTTTGAATATGTTATCAGGAGAGACCAGGCCCTGGAGAAGGATAGCGTATTTGGTAAAGAAGAGAATCGGTAAAAAAGAGCAAGACCCTCAACAAGATGGGCTGCTACAATAGCTGCAACAATGGGCTCAAACAGCAATGATTGTAAGGATACAGCAGGACTGGGCAGTGTTTTGTTCTGTCGTATGTAGGGTCACTGTGGGTTGGAACGGACTTGAAGGCACCTGATGAAAACAAAGGGGACGTTTGGCAAGTCTGGAGATAATTCTGGTTATCACAACAGCAGGGGGCAGTGGAAGGGCAGTGCTCCTGGACTCTAGTGGGTGGAGGGCAGGGATGCTGTTTGACACCCTACAATGCACAAGACAGCCCTGCAAGAGAGAATTATAGTGCCAAAGCTGGGAAATCCTGGACTGGACAGGCAAGCAAGCACACCAGAGCAAGAAGGATGGATCTCACCAGGGAGGAGACTGGAAGAGAGAAGGGTGAGAAACTGTCACATTCGTACTTTGGATCTGAGTCTTCTACAACAAAATCGTGTTCCTGTAGCTCTTGATACAGGGCAAGTCATAGTACCTCACTTTGAAATCCACTGCAAATCAAGGACAGCATTAGTCCCTGGGGGCTGCAAACACTTAATGTACTTGGCTGCTAACCAAAAGATTGGTGGTTCGAGTCCACTCAGAGGCACCTCAGAAGAAAATCCTGGCCATCTGCTTCTGGAAAATCAGCTACCATAGAGATCCAGCCAGGATCTCTGAGTCACATGGGGTCACCATGACTCAAATCAACTTGATGGCAACGGGTTTGATTTTCCTGGCAAGTGCAGTTGCCACCTGTCAGTGGAGGCGTTGCATGTTGCTATGATGCTGAACAGGTTTCAGCGGACATTCCAGAGGAAGATGAAGTAGGAACAAAGGCTTGGCGGTCTATTTCCAAAAATCAACTAGTTTAAACCCCATGTGTCACAAGGGTGCAGTCCCACTCACTGTGCATGGGGTTGCCATCAGTCAGAGGTGACTCAACGGCCATGTTACCAGGACACTGAGGCTAAAATGATATAAAGCCTGTAAATAAGAGTCAGGCCAGCACCACTGGTGATGTTATGGCAGTTGCTGCCAATGAGTTAGAACTGTCTAACAGGTCTGTAAGCCTGAGTCCTCAGGCTCAGCCTAGTTATTCGGTGGAAAAGAAAACATGGCATATTATCTGACAAGATAGAAGAGGGAAAAAAAGAGAAAGACTTGATGCTGTGGACAGGCAGATCAGGACCTCCTGGGTCCCGGAGCTCTGCAGGACAGACTGGGGTGGAGAGGCCTTTCTGCTCCCTCTCACCCCCCACCTCTGTACTATACCTGGGACTTCTCCACGGAAGCCGTGTGCTTATCACACATGGGGCTGATTTCCATGCCGCGCTCTCGCTCCCGGTCCCCTTGCTGGAAGAACTCGGCCATGATGCGGTCAGTCCACTGGCGGTATAGCTCCAGCGGCTTGGTTGGGTTGCTGAGGTCAGCACAGTGCACCATGTTCCTTAGGACCTGCAAGGGGTGGACCGGAGGCCTTCAGAGGCCATGTCCCTGGTCCAGTCTGGAGCCTTGGGCTTCTTTACCTCCCACTGGGGGAGAGGGCGCGGGGAGAAGAGGTGGGGTGGGCGGAGATGGAGAAAAGTGGGGAGCAGGTTGGGGGAGATGCGAAGGGGTTGATGAGAGAGCAGGAGGAGCTGAGGGAAAATGAGGGATATGGCAGGAGAAGACAGGAAAGAGAAACGAGATAGGAGTGGAAGATGGGAAAGCAGAGAGGATGGGGAGATGGATGAGCCACGATAGACTGGGGGAGGGGCACCAGCTCAGATGCAAAGGGTCTCTCTCTTTATTGTGGGGAGGGGTGCCACCTGGATTCGGTCTGAGTAGTTGTCCAGCAGGAGGACCCCCGAGCTGGTCACTTTCTTAGTCTCCACCATGGTCTTCAGGTCAGCCAGGAGGGTCATGTGCTTGGACATGTCGGTGGCCAGTACCTAGGGGCAAGGGGGCGGGGTCACAGGGGCTGTGGAAGCTGGCCCCGCCCCTGCCCAGAACCCACATCAGCCGAAGGCCACCTTCCCACCCAGGCCCACCAGTCCTCCAGCCTCCAGGGGACTCCTGTGAGGCTCTGGCCCGCTGCCCCCGCCCACCGCCAGCCCCGCCCCCAGCCCGCCCACCATGTCGATGACCATCTTGCGCAGGCTCTGTCGCTGGCGCTTGTTGAGGTTCTGGAAGATGTCGCAGTTGTCGTTCTGCAGCAACTTGAAGCCCACGGCCAGGTGGTGGTTCTCGAGCACCGACTCGTCGTTGTACATGAGCGCCAGCTCCGAATCTGTGGCCCAGGCCTGCGGTCAGGGGCGGGGCCACCAGAGCCCTACCCCCAGCTCCCGCCAGCCCTGCCCTTGCGAGGGCCACTCACTGGTGTTGATAAGGAACTGGTTGGAGACCCCAGGGTGGTCCACATCGTGGATGGCAGCCGCGAAGAGGGCCGCGAGAATCTCCAGGTCCGTGAACACGGCCTGGGGGCCGAGAGAGGGGCCAGAGAGACACAGGTCAGGAGATGCGGATAAAAGAGAGAGATGGGGAGTCATGAAAGATGGCGATCAAGAAAGATGGGGTTCTCTGAGATCGGCTCTTACTGAAGTGGATCAATGATGAAAACAGCCAAATCTGAGCATCAGGGACCTTCCAGCCTACCCAGTGCATGATCTCTAAAGTCTAGGAAGCAACAGTATAAAATAACTTAAGGCAATACATACATATCTAACATGTGTGTTTGCAGGGAAGCTATGGTGGCGTAGTGCCTAAGGCATGTGACTGATAACCAGAGGCTGGCGGTTCAAACCCAGCAGCCACTCCTGGGAAGGAAGACTGGGAAATCTACTTCTGTAGAGATGCTGCCTCGGAAACCCAAGGAGGGGTCGCTGTATGTGTTCACATGTGTACCCGTATGTGTTGATAAAGGTGACAGTGGATAACCAGGAATTGCCAATATATGAACGAGATAGTGTGTGTGTGTGTGTGTGTGTGTGTTTATGAAAGGCTAATCAGTCTGAGCAATGTGAAAAGGTTTGCTACTGACCTTTATAAATATGAAGGTTTCTATACTTGACCTGAGCTCAAAGAGAAGGAAAAAAAAAAAAAGATGGGAGTCAGGGAGCAGGAAGGGAGGAGGAAGTCAAAGGAGGAGGAGGGGGGTCAGAGAGTTGGGGACCAGGGAGGGAGAAGTCAGAGTGGGGGCAGAGGTGAAGCAATGGATTAGAGTGATGGGGGTCAGAGAAGGAGGAGGGGTCAGAATGGGAGGAAGGGTCTGAGTAAGGAGAGAGAGGTCAGAGAGACAGGGGTCAGAGAGGGAAGAAGGGGTCAGAGAGATGGAGTCAGGGAAGGAGGAGGGGGGTCAGAGAGGGAGGAGGGAGTCATAGGGGGAGACAGAAGGGGTCTGAGAACAAGACTGAGGAACCAGGTCAGAAAGAAGGTTGGAGAGATAAAGGAGATCAGAGATAGGTGCTCAGGGAGACAGATGGGTTGAGGAGACACAGGGGAGGTAGGTGGGGAGACACAGGGGAGGTAGGTGGAGCCAGGTGGGCAGCGCTCACATCCAGCGCAGGTGTGGCCAGAAGCACATGTGTAGACTGCAGCACGTCGGCCGCATGCAGGCTGTTGTGGTAGGCCACGTCTGCATGGTAGTGGTCCTCCAGCGTCAGCATGTACGTCACCATGGTGTCCACCGGGATGCGGAACTTCTTCAGCAGATCCCGCTCCTGAGGGCAGGCGAGGTGGGGCAGTGACCCCTGCTGGCCCTTGGCCTCCCCCCCTGCACCCTTTATGCCCCAGCTCACTCCCCTTTAGCCCCCCACCTGAAATACTGTGTACATGATGCAGCTGAGGGAGCGGCCTCCGGCATAATCCGACACACAGAAGATGTTCAGGCCCCACCTGTTCAGGTTCTCCAGTTCCTGAAGGGGATACAGCACAGAGGTCAGGAGCCTCCAAGCCCGGAGAAGACCTGGCCTTCTAGACCCCTTCCTTGGAATGGACTCTGACTACAGGTAGCATAGTATTGCTCGCCCAGCAGGTGGTGTGGTCAGCAGCACAGAAGGGATCACCCGTCCTACTGGGCTGGAGACCACCACAATGAGCCAAGCTATGGTCTATTGAGTTTTATTACCTGCCAAGCAGTACCCTAACCACTTGATCTCATTTGGCAGGGGAGGGAACTTAAGGCTCTGAGAAGTGAAGCCACTTTAGCCAAGTTCTTGCAGCTCACAGTGGCACAGCTGGGATGAGAACCCAGGTCAGCTGAACCCCAAGCATAGCTCAGCCTCTAAGCTAAACTGCATGAGCCCTAGAAGAAAGGAACATGGTCTTATTTTCCATGTCTCCCTAGAATCCAGAGTGGATTCCAACTCATGGTGACTCCATGTGATCACAATAGAGCTGTCCCAGAGGGTTTCCTAGGCTGTAATCGTTACAGGAGCGATTGCCACAGAGCCACTGAATGGGTTCAAACCTCCAACTTTTCAATTAGCAGCCAAGCACCTAACTGTTGCGCCACCAGGGCTCCTTCCCTAGCACACAGTAGGTGCTTAGTAAAAACGAGTGACTGAATTTAAGACTCACCAGACCCTGGCTTACAGAGGGCTGCAATATGTATTAGCTGAGTGAGCCACCCAGGGCTCATGGGGCTCATATTACAAGCCAATCAGAAAGCTCCTGGGCTCTGAGATCTCTTGCAGCAGAGCCAGGAGTCAAACCCAGGCCTGACCTGCAGTGGCTGCTCAGGGGGGCCCTGCCCAGATCCCCTTCACTAGCCAGTGTACCCATTGCCCAGCTGCTGGGAGTGAGGTCCTGAGGCCCCCAGCTGCTCCCTTCTCTAAAACATTGCCGTTGCCCCAAGAGGAGCTCCGTGAAGGTGTTGATATCATCCACCCCACGGGGGGTGCCCCCAGTCAATGGCTGGCACAGTGGGCTCAACTCTGTGGTGAGAGTGCACTGTGGGATCAGGCTGAGGTCAGGGGCCGAGCCCATCTCCTTGCTCGGCTGCTTCCTAGCCTGCTTGTGTCCACCATTCCCTCTCTCCTAAAAAAGCAGGCACCGTATCCTCAGCTCAGACTCAGCTTCTAGGGAACCTGCCTTCAGACCTGACTCTAATCCCAGTCCTTCTCTGGGCCCCAGGAAATCCAGGCTCCTCCTCTCCAGCCCAGTCCCCCCCAGCCTCCACGCACTCGGGCCAGGAGCTCCTCTTGATTGGTCTTCACCCCAAAGCGGGGGACACCCGAGTTGTTCAGGCTGCTGCTGTGCATCAGTTTCTTGACGCCCGTGATCTGAGACATGGGCTGGAAGTGCGGCACAGGGGCTGGGGGCTGCTGGGAGGGTCGCTGCTGCCAGGGCACTTGGTGTTTTTCTCGCTCCTTCATTGTGGGTGACGGGATCTCCACTTCGTTCTGTTTGTCTGCGGAAATGGGGGCAAGGGGCAGGTGTGAGCACTGCAGAGGCTCCCTCCTCTGTTCCTCAGCCCCCCACCATGCCCTGGGCAGCCTCACCGGAAAGGGTAGACCCCTTCTGCCGGCTACCCAGAGACTGGAAGCCATAGGAGATGTAGGGGTTCTTCTGGGATGTCGTTGGCTGGAGTGTTGGCCCCAGGGCTGGCCCAGGCTTGTAGGGATGCCCCATTCTAATCGCCACATGTGGGAGGGGGGTAGTGTGGGTAGTCAGAAGGCGGGGAGGGGATGCCAAGGATTGCCGATGCCTGCCCTTGGTGGCCAGAGGGCTCTCTCGGGTAGGAGAGATGCCCCCAGGGTGGCCCACAGTGGTGGTGGGGGGTGGAAGTGCTGGGAGGAAGGAGGGGGGTGGGGTGGTTTCTGGCTCCATGGGCCCCCCCCTTGGCACCATGGCACAGCCTGCCTGGGGGCCAGCCCCAGAAGCGCCTTTCCTTAGCTTTCAAGGGCTTCCAGAGCCCAGCCAGGGCCACCCTTTGTGACCTAGGGCTGCCAGTCAAAGGCAGTGGCCTAATGGAATTTGCATGCCACTCTCCTATTGGCTGGACCCTCAGAACTCTGGACACACCACACCCCCAGTGGGGGGGGGAAACCACTGAAACTCTGAACCCATCTCTTGAATGTTGGGGGTGCTCCTGAATGTGGAGGCTTTGGTGATAAATTAAAGAAGCTCTGGTGGCACAGTGGACAGACGCTGAGCTGCTAACTGAAAGGTCAGTGGTTGGAACCCACCAGGTGCTCTGTGGGAGAAAGATGAGGCAGTCTGCTTCCATAAAGACTGTAGTGTTGGAAACCCTATGGGGCAGTTCTTTTCTACAGGGTTGCTGTGAGTCAGAATTGACTCAACAGCAATGGGTTTGTTTTTTTGGTGATAAATTAAGTCATGAGGGTGAGACTATCCCCTAAGTTTGGGGAGTATGTATCCTCAGCTTGGGTTTAGAGGTTGGGATGACTTGAGGTCCCCTTGAACTCAGGGGTTCCTATGAATTTGGGGTATTTTACCCTATTTGGGGTTCATCTGAGTTAGGAAATTTTCCTAAGTTTAGAGAATCTCTTCCAGGTCCTTACACTTAGAAGTCTACTTAGTATGGCTGTCTGAAATTTGGGGTCCTCTGAATTTGGCATGTCATTCCAAGTTTGGGGACTCTTGGACTTGAGGGGCTTTCAGCTTGGAGGAGCCTTGTTGGCTAACCAAAAGGTTGGCGGTTTGAACCCTGATCCATAGAAGAAAGATGTGGCAGTCTGCTTCCATAAAGATTACAGCCTTGGAAACCCTATGGGGCAGTTCTACTCTATTCTGTGGGTCACTATGAGTCGGAATCGACTAAGTAGCAACAGGTTTTTTTGTTGTTGTTGTTCAGTTGGAAGTTTTTTTTCCCCCCCAAATGTTTGGGGAGTCTTTTGTGGGCTCATAAGTGCAGAGTTTCTCTTAGTCTTGAGAACCATACTTGGTGAGTTTGAGCATCTTTCTTAAATTTGGAGGGCTACTGAATTGTGTGTGTGGGGGAATAACCTGAGTTTAAAGAGCTCTGGTGGTGCCGTGGTTAAGGCATTGGGCTTCTAACCAAAACGTCAGTGGTTCGATCCCAATAACTGCTCCAGGGGAGATAGACGAGGCCGTCTGCTTCTGTACAGATTTACGGCCTTGGAAACCCTATTGGGGTCATTATGAGTTGGAATTGACTCGATGGCAGTGGGTTTGGATTTAACCTGAGTTTGGAGAAATGACTGACTTTCGGGTTCTACTGAGTTCAGGGGCCTTTACAGCTTGGAGGCTTTTTGAAGTTTAGGAAATTCTGTTTGAGTTTAGGTCTTAAAGAGTTCCATTGAATCTGGGGTTCCACTGAGTCTGGAGGGGCTTTTCAGCCTAGAGATATTTTTAAATGTAGGGGTTCTATAAAAGTTGGGGCCCCACTGAGTTTGGGGGCATCATGCATGTGGGAGCTTGTATGCTTGTTGACTTTGACCTTTGGGGAGTTATGAGTCAGGGTCCCTGGGTAAATCTTGCAGGAGGGCCCAGAGTCTGGGGTGGCCCTCTCTAGTTCAGGTCCCCCCTGCCCCGTGCACTGCCCATCACTCACCCAGGAACGTGGTGGAGATGTACTCAGAGACCTGGTTTCCTGACCTGCTCATCTCTGACAGGTGTGTGAGCTCCCGGTTTAGCATCCTCTTGAACTAAGGTGAAGTGAAGGAGGCAAGAAGGGAAGGATGATGAGGGGGTCATGGCTGAGGGGGTGTCAGCCCTCCCAGGATATTCTTGAAGACCTCAAGGGCCCCTCCTACTTCTCTGCTCAGTCAGCAAACCCCCTACCAGGCTGTTAGGGTGGAAGGGCCAGCCCCTCCTCTTCTCTCCAGCTCTGGATGAGGGCCTAAGCTTGGGGAGTCAGAATTCCAGCATCCCCCTCCCTGCCTGAGGAAAGAGGGGCTCTCCCACCCGTAAGGAGGGGCCAGAGGAGCACCTGTGGAGAGGAGGGACTCCTATCTTCCAAGGAACCAATGGAGTATCAGGAGAATACCATCACCATGGTGATGGGAGTCTCCTTAGCAACTCCCCTTCCAACCAGCTGCTGAGCTGGGGGGGGCAGGCCAAGACCCCTTAACCCTTGCCTTCCCAAAGCTACCTTAGCTCAGGTCTTCCCAAATATGGGCCCCAATCCCTGGGGGCCCTGGCCCTCAGCCCCTACTCTGGTTTGGAGGGGGATGCAGATCCAAGATCTAGGGAGAGAAGGTCTGGCTGGGCAGGGGTGAAGACAGAGCTGAGGAAACCCCAGTTTTGTCACTCAGAGGAGGGGGTCCCCATCAGAGCCCCCTCTCCTATAATCTCAGGAAGGCAGACTGATACACAGACAAATATAATATATCCAAAACCAGGCCTGGAGGCGGTTCCTGGTCCCCCGAGGCCACTTCACACAAGCCTCTGCTGTGACATTGTGCAGACAGGAGAAAGGGCATTGGCTCCCCGCCCCCCCAAGCTCTGGTGAAGCACCTCCATAGCAGGAGCAGACTGCTCGGAGAGCCAGGAGGGGTGAGCCTCAGATAGGGTGTTCACTGCTTGTAGGGCGGCCCAGAGACCCTGGGCATATGGACAGACAACCAAACACACACACACCCTAACACACAGTTACATATCCCTGTGTTACACAGTCCCGCACAGCCTCACACAGCCACAGACACAAAGACAAGGGGCACACATGAAGGCAGTCACTCGGGGTCACATGCCCTAGAAAAATCACACAGCTGTGGGTTCTCAAACATGGCCTGACACACAGCACAATCATGGCCACATGACCTCAGCCAGGGCCACACTAGACCCAGGCAGACCAGCATGCCGTCAGGAGACACACACCATTGCAGACACATGCAGCCCAGCATTGACACAGTCACACCCAGCGAGAGACTCATAGCCCCTGGGCAGCCACACACCCCTCAGCCACCCGCCACCGCCATCCACGCCCAGCCCCGGACCACACACAGACCCCGTCATCAGGCTTCATCCTCAGGCACACACGTGCACAGCTGCACACACAAGCCCAGATGGGGGCTGGAGGGTCTGAGGTGAGAGGGTCTGGGAGGGGTTTCCTGCCCACCCTCCCCACTGCATTCCCCTACCTGGTCCCACCAGCCCACCAGCCACGGCTTGGAGCAGGTCTCGCAGAAGAAATCTACCAAGGGCATCTTGGACTCTTAGCCCCGCTCGGGGCTGCCGCACGCAGAGGCTGAGCTTGGGGAGGCTTAGGGTTAACAGCCGGGTGGGGCGGCTGCCAGGCAGGTGGGCAGTGGAAGGGGAGCCGCGGAGGGGCCTGGGCCAGCCCAGCAAGGCTGGGGGCTCCCTTCCCCTCCGCGCTCCCAGTGGCAGTCCTGGTTACATGGTCTGCCAGCCCCTGGCCCTGGTGGGCCCCCCTGCGGTGATGGCTGGAGGTGGCCGGGGGCCCCTGCCCATAGGGGGCGGGGTGGGGGTCCTGGGAGGGAGGCTGCAGAGGCCTGGGGCTCTGTGTGTGTGCCTGTGTGTGTGTGTGCGCGTGTGCGTGCTCACTGCAGCACTGGCAGGCTGCATGTGATGTCAGGTGGTGCTGGGGGGGGGGCGTTAAAGGGGCATTGGAGCCCACGGCTGTGGCCAGGAGCCAGGTGGGGCCACTGGGGGATGGGCAGGGAGCATAGATGTGTCCCCTCCCTGGACACACCGGAGACAGACACATACCAGAGGCTGCACACACTCACAGACTCACAAACATCCTGAGACACAGCTTCCATGGACACAGACATATATATACCCAGATGGTTGACACATTCTCACACAAGAACACTCCCCACAATGCTTTCAGCCCTACACTTAACACACACAACCAGACACAGTCACAAACCCTGATGCTCAACATGTAGACATACAGTCAAGCACACAGAGTCGCGCCTTCAGACACACCCCTTCCAAGACACAGAGCCACACCACACACACGTGGAAGAACACAGCTAGGGACAAACACCCAGACACTTGGACATATGCACCCCCCAGCACAGACAACCCCTCCAACTGTGGACCTATGTACCCCCCCAACAGACAATCCCCCCAACCTTGGACATAGCACCCCCAACACAGACACCTTCTCTAACCTTGGACATACGCACCCCCCAACAGACAACCCCTCCAACTGTAGACATCTGTACCTCTCAATAGACGACCCCTCCAATACAGACAAACCGTCCAACCATAGACATATGCACTCCTTACACAGACAGCCCCTCCAACTGTGGACATATGCACCCCCCGACACAGACACCTCCTCCATCTACAGACATATGCATGCCCAACACAGACACCTCCACAAGCACACTCATTTCCTGATAGGCATTCACCCACAAGGGCTGCCACCATGCAGCACAGCTCCAGCCAGCATCATTCCTTTTTTTTTTTTTTTTTAATTAGGATTTGGGTGAAGATTTACAGAGTAAATTCACTTTTCATACAGCAGTTCACATATACTTGGTCTCATGTCATTGACCAAAATTTACAATGCAGCAGCTCCCCTCCCACTTCCTCCCCATAGTTACCTCCTCCCAGTGTCCATCCCTTCATACTCTCCTGCACCCTGAGCTATCTCCCTGTGCATAAGCAGCCCTTCCTTCTCCCATGATTGTTCTCTCCAGGGCATGTGTCAACTTGAGGTAAATGTTTAACTCACATGCCTGTACTTTGTTTTCCAGCCAGCATCATTCACACTGCCTGCCCTCTCAGTGGTGCCCCCTGGAGTTGTGCAGTGCACAGTCTGCACAGCTGTACACGGAAAGCCTCACACTCTCCCCTGCAGCTATGCAAACATGAACACAGTCACAGACATAGATACACCTAGATTCACACCTGGACCGACTCACACCTGTGGACATGTACAGCCTTCCAACACAGCCCCAAACACATGCCATACCCACAGTCCCACATAATCAATGCATGGTCCACAACTATCCACCCTCCACAGGTATAACCTGTACTCCACTTCTGGATCCTCTGAACACACCCCAGCACTGCAAACACATGCCCACCAAACGGACACCCACACACACTCATAGCCACAGAGATGCACCTACAGACAATCTCCACAGGTCTTGGACCCCCCCCAGTAGAGATGGTCACCATGGGCAGACATACTAGTACAATCTTCATGTGCAACACACACACACACACACACACACAAACCAGGCTCCAACCCTGGGAGAAGTCACCATCTACAGAAGCTACATATCTTGAAGCCCCACCCCAGGCTGCCTCCCCAGCCCCGCCCTCAGCACACCTTGTGAGAGGCCATCTCGCTGACAGAGCGGTAGGTCTGCATGGTCTCTAGTTGCTCCAGACACCAGTCCAGCTCCTCCAATGTCTCCCGGGCCAACTGCTGACACGTCTCCTCTGGGAAAGGGGCAGCCAGGCTGTGACTGGGAGGATCCCCAGAGGCCTTGGCTCATGGTGATGGGGTCCTCAGGTGAGTGGGGTGCTGGGGATGGGGGAGTGGGACAGCCATGCAGAGTGAGACCCTTCCCCCATTGGGGCAGCAAGAGGGGCCCTTTCCCATCCCCCTGGGCTTAGCTACCTGACAGTGTGGCCTTGCAGACAGGGGGTGGGCCGCCCAGCGGTGACCGCCTGCAGAGAAATAGGCCCCCATGTCAGCCTGGGCCCTCCACATCCCTGCCTCTGCACCTTCCATCACACACCCTCTGAAAACCCAGGACCAGTGCTGGTTTTCCTTCTTTTCTGTGCCCCTGTGTCCTGAGTGTGCTGCCATTACTATACCAGCAGCTTCTCACTGAATCTAAGAACCCACTTTACAGACAAGGAAACAGGCTCAGTGAGGTGAAACAGCTCCCTCAAGGCCACAAGGCTGATTGGTAGCAGGGCCAGGTCCTATGACTCCAAAGTCTCTGTTCCCTTAACTGCCACCCCCCATGCTCCCTGAACTGGTCCCAACAGGAACCAGCAGTTCTCAGCCACACCCCCAGCCTCCAAATACTATCACTCCTATTTAGTGAACACTTACTATGTGCTGGCAATGTTCTAGCACTTTCTGTGTGTCACCTCCTTGACTCCTCACGGCAACTCTGATAGCAGAGCTGTTACGATTCCCATTGTACAGAGGGGAAACGGAGACACTTCATGAAGCCATCTGCCTGGCAAATTGGTGGCAGGGCCAGGAATGGCCCCAAGGGTGGGCAGTCTTGCCACCTGTGGCCTCACCCCCGCACATCCCAATCCTCGTTCTTTCTTTATGAAATCTTCTTAGGCTCTTGAACCACAATAGCTCACTGGCTCAGAAGGAGGCCCAAACAGGTTCAGAGAGGTCAAGTGGCTGCCTGAGTTGAGGCTGCACAGCAGGGCTGAAAGTTGAGCCTGGCCTCATGATGATGGATGTTGGGCTCCAGCCTCAACTTACTTGTTGCTGGGAATGGGCACATTGGTCAGGAGGGAGAAGTTGCTGCGAACACTCCGGAGACTGGCCAGCACCTGGGACAGAGAGGGGCAGTGACGTAAGGCATTGGACAGAGGGGCAGCCAGGGCTCCAGTGCAAGGGAAAGCTGGGGAGGAGTCTCACCTGGGCAAACGGTGTTACGATGAGGTCTTCAGCATGTCTGCAATCAAGGGCAAAGACAGGTCATGGCTTCCCACAACAGGAACCCCTGAGGGTCCGGGGAGCCAGAGAAGGAACACTGTTGGGGAGTGGCTGGTGGGCAGGGTGGAGACTTGTGGGGTGGGAGTACTTACACCTCACAAGGGTGGAAGGTCTGGGCCTGAATGAAGTGGTGGGCAGGGATAAGGGCACAGGTGGGTGAGTAGAGAGGGACTGGGGGTAGGGAAAAGAGGGGTGAAGATGCTTCAGGAGCTAGGCTCAGTGAGAGCAGTGGGAGGGGAGGGTGCTTGGTGGGGCAGGAGAGTCGGAGGACAGGAAAGGCTGAGAGCTGAGTGGACACCTCCACAGGGACAGGCCTAGAGAAGCCAGTGGGCAGGACTGGGTGGGTCATGACAAAGGGGCTTGGTGTGGGGAAGGCTGGGGAGAACAGGAGAGGGGCTCAGGCAAGGTGAGGGAGAAACTCACGCCCAGTTGGCGGTGGGCAGGGAGAGGCCCGAGTAGGGGTGCACCCTCCTTGCTGGAGCAGACAGATTGAAGTGGGGCCAGACTTGTGACTACATGGACATCAGTGGGGGCTGGGCCTGAGGGAGGGGCTCAGTGTGGGTGTCAAGAGCAGAGATGGGGTGGGTACACATGCTATAAAACATAGGGAGGGGCACACACAGGTGGGGGGCTGCTTATTCCTCAATGGGGAGGATAGCTTTTTGGGGGTTAGGGAGGATGGGCACCCATACTCCTTGCTGGGATCAGTAGCTTAGGGAAGGGCTGCAGGAGCTGGCAGGTGAGGAGGGAGGTACTCACGCTTCACTGGTGACCGACGAGTTCCGGGACATGGTCTTGGGTGACATGTCGTAGTCGCTGTCTGAACGGTAGAGGAAGGACTCACGGCGCTGGCTGGTGGCCCCCCCAGCATGCAGCACAAGTCCTGGGCTCGCCTGCGAGTCCAGGGGGCTGCGGCCAGGCGATGGTGTGGGTCCATTCTCTGCTGCCTCAAAGCTGCCAGGGACAGGAAGAAGGGCAGGGAGGTCAAGAGGGAAGAGGGGAGCAAGAGAGACAGATACACCAAGACAGACGGAGGGCAAGGTATTGCAGAGAGCAGATAGCTACTGAGCACCTGAGAGTGCCATGCAGGTGCTGAGCACACAGCAGTGGCCAACGCAGACCATATCTGCCCCTCAGGGAGATGACAAGAGGAGTCAGACAGATTAACAAGGCAGCAAAGCTCCCCCCAGGCTGTGGGGGGTCCTCTTTGGGTCTGCTCTTTGCTTCGCACCCCAAATCAATTCAGAATCAGCCTACTTTGTCCTCCCTCCTTAGCAAGACCCAGTCACCTCCTGCCTGGCCCAGTGAAGTTATCTCTGTCCTTACTTCCCCACAGTCTGTCCCCTCCAATGGCCAGAGCAGCCTGTGAATCCTCTTGAGTCAGGTCACACCCTTGTCTGTGTGGCTTCTATGGCTCCTGTCTCACTCAGAACAAAAGCCCAGGTCCTCACTCTGACCATATGCCCTGTCTCACCTCTGCCCTCCTCTCCACCCCAATCTCCCTCTTGCTCATTCTGCTCTAGTCACAATGGCCTCCTCCATGTTCCCTAAACATTCCAGGCATATCCCAGCCTCAGGGACTTTGCACAGGCTGTGGTCTCTGCCTGGAACATGCTTAGGCAGATATCCCCAGATACCTACATGGCTCCTCCTCCCTCACTGCTTTCAGGCCTCAGCTCAAATGTCACCTCTTCCAAAACCAAACCAAAACCAAACCAATAAACCAACCCACTGCCATCAAGTCTATTCTGACACAGTGACCCCTGTGTTACAGAGTAGAAGGGCTCCACAGGGTTTTCTTCACTGTAATCTTTATAGAAGTAGATTGCCAGACCTTTCTTCCATGGTGCTGCTGGGTGAGTTTGAACCATGGATCTTTAAGTTACCAGCCAAGAGCAAACTGTTTGTGTCACCCAGGGACCTGTCCTCCCTGGCCAGCCCACCTAAAATTGCAGCTCCTACCCTGACATTTCATATTCCCCTTCCTTGAAAAAAAAAAAAAAAAAAATTACACATCACTACCTGACATACTTCATAGTTTTCTTATCTTCTTTTCTGTTTGCCTTCCCTTCTAGAATAGAAGAACAGCTCTTCAGAGCAGGGGCTTTTGTCAGCTTTGTCCACTGCTGGGTCCTTAGGGCCTAGACAAAGCCTGGCACACAGTGGGGCCCAATACATCTTTCCTGAATGAATCATTAATAAATGAATGAGTGAATACATGAACTGGATTGAGCCTTACAAAGAATTAAGCCCAGGTTAGGGTGACAGCAAGTTACTGGAGTGGTGATTTTAGCTGTGAGGATCATGGCAGGCCTTTCTGAAGATGACAGGGAGCTGGCCTCGAGTTAGGAGGTAGGGAAAAGTTCTCCAGACAGAGGAAACAGCAAGTGCAAAGGCCCTAAGGCAGGGATTGGTGTGTTCCTGAGGAAAAGCAAGGAAGCTATTATGGCTGGAGTGGAGATACAAACAGACCAAGACAGAGGTACAGCTACAGAAGGAGGAGGACAGTAGGCCCCCAGCCTGGGGGCACTGGCCACAGAGTCCCCCAGGATGAGGCTGGGAGACCCTGGCTGTACCACTTCCCCGCTGTGTATCTTGTGGTAAATGACAACTTCCATTTCTTCATCCACTAAACGGGGACAACCACTGCCTCCACTGTCAGACTGTCCAGATGACTAGCATTAAGACAGGAAAAGCACTTGGAACAAGATGTGGCACAGAACTCAAAAAATCTTGGTGACTGTAAGTCTATCAGCCCAAAAAACTCCGCCACTTGGGAAGTGGAGTCAGCAAGGCAAGTGATACAGCTGACGAGAATGGGGAGCTATGAGCCTGCCATGTGCTGTGTGGCCTCAGGAAGGCCACTACCCTCTCTGGTCTTTGTTAGTCTGTTATTAAAGCTAGACTGGTCAGTGGAATTCAGGTTTGCTCTGAGTGGAGAGAGGAAGAGTCAGGAAACCTTCCTTTCCATTCCTACACCTCAAGCGTCGTATCTGAATGGCCCGTCTGCTAAGAAATCAAATTTGAAATCTCCTAGACCAAGACAGAGATGCAGCTTCTACATAGTCAGCCTCTCCTCTGGGGCCAATCCTGGGGGTACATCACAGACATCATTTTACAGATGAAGAAACTGAGGCTCAAAGAGGAGAATGTTCAGCTCTGGGTCACACAGCATGACTGTGGCAGAGTTAGAATTCAAACCCTACTTCAGATTCCAAAATGCTAACTGCTTTGCAGTGATGGCCGCCTACTCAACCCCCATTTGAGTAGGGATGGCAAATACGAATGTCTCCAGGGCTTAGGGAGCCGACAAACAGCAAAGAGGGGCTGAGGGCCTGAGGCAACCAGATGTTCCGATTTTCCAAGACAACTCAGAAATTCTCACTTTAAATAGTCAAAAATTCAAACTTCTTAAACTGGTTAAAAAACACTGTGAAATTGTGCTTTGCAAAAGACATTGTCAAGTAAATGGGGAAAAAAAAAAAAAGCTACCAACTAGGAGGAAATATCTGACAGAGGACTTATATCTAATATATACAAACAGCTCTTAAAATTAAATGGTAAGTCAATTCAAAAGAAAAAAATGAACCAAACTGACAATACCAAGTGCTGACAAGCATGTGGAGCAACCGGAAGCCTCACACATAACTGTTGAGAATACAAATGCTAACCACCACTTTAGGAAAACAGTTTGGGAGTTTCTATTAAATAATACCCTTACTATATTAAAAAATGTATGTTATTGTTGTTGTTGTTATGTGCCGTCGAGTCGGCCCCGACTCATAGCGACCCCTCCTTGGGTTTCCGAGGCAGTATCACTACGGAAGTAGGATTGCCCAACCTTCCTTCCGAGGAGTGGCTGGTGGGTTTGAACCGCCAGCCTCTGGTTAGCAGGCAAGTGTCTTAGCCACTATGCTACCAGAGCTCCCAAAAAATATATACATATTAAATATATATATATTTAAAAAAAAAAAAAGCCATCGAGTCAATTCCAACTTAGAGCGACCCTCTAGGACTTAGTAGAATTGCTCCCATAGGATTTCCAAGGCTGTATCTTTATGGAAGCAGATTGCCTCATCTTTCTCCCATAGAGCAGCTGGTGGGTTTGAACCACCAACCTTTTAGTTAGAAGCCCAATTCTTTAACCACAGCGCCACCAGAGCTCCTTACCCTTACTATATGACCCAACAATTCCACTGCTAGGTATTTACCGAAGATAAACAAAAGTATTTGTCCATATAAAAACCCATACACAAACATGTTCATAATCATTAAAAATTGGAAACAACCCCAAGGTCCATCCACTGGTGAATAAACTGTTATAGATACATAAACAGAATACTCTTCCGCAATGAAAAAGATGAGTCCTAAATGAACTTTGCTAAGACAGAGAACCACCACTCGTCTGTCTGTTTGCCATACTGTGGTGGCTTGCATGTTGCTGTGAGGCTGGAGGCTATGCCGCTGGTATTTCAGATCCCAGCAGGGTCACCCATGGTGGACAGGTTTCAGCAGAGCTTCCAGACCAAGACAGACTAGGAAGATAGACAGGGTCATCAGCTCTCAAGTTGGAATAATCACTCACAGATCATCAGCTTGGGCCTTTGGTGATAATGTTCATTTATTGAGTACGTGCTGTGTTCTGGATGCCCAGTTAAATCTGTTTACAAAACACCCAAACCTGTGAAAGCCAGAACCTGTGTAAGGCAGAAACCTGTCAAAGAAGGGAAACTCAAATATTTTCTGCTAAAGTGAACGCTAGAAAAGTGGCAAGACTGCACCCTGTAAAAGGCAGAAAACTTTCGAGAGACCCAGATGAACAAGGCAGTCCCATTGAGTTCTGGTTCTCACGGGTTTCACTGTAACAAGGCCCTGAGCACTCGCTGTGTGCCTGGCACCATCGAAGCAGTCTGTACACGTTAATCCATTTGTGCTTCCCACCAAACCCATGAAGTAGGTACTGTCTGACCAGGAGGCACAGAGGGGCGGCCAGGGGCTGGTGGCCTTACTGCCTGAGCACTGTGTCCTGCCCCCCACCCCCCAGCCTCCCAAGGCTCCACTAACTGCCACCTCTATATGGAAGACCCATCCCCTGCCCCAGGATCTGAAGCCACAGTTTAGGGAGGGTGAGTTCCAGGCCCCAAGAGAGTGTTCAGCTGACACTGCCCAGCAGATCACCAGCCTGGGAGGGGGGGGACCTCAGCTCTGCGCAAGCAGGAGCCCAGAGACCAAGACATGGGAAGAGGCAGCCTCTGGGGCCCTCCTGTTTGTGCTTCCAGGAGCAGATGTCCTCTGGGCCAAGAAAGGGCAGAAGGAAAGAGATTAGCGCTGGGGAACTGGAGCCTGGGAGGAGGTCCCAGGTGCCGCACAGAATTAGACCCCCAGGCCTGGGGGAGTCACCCCTCCTTGACCTGGTGTTGCTCAGGGTGGCCCAATGTCAAGCTGGAGGCTGCTCCGGAGATGTGCCAATAAGACCTACACTCAGGGAGCAGTGACGAGGACTGACATGCCATCAGAGAGGTGAAGTGACCTTTCCAAGACTCCCCCTCGAGCAGGCTGACCTTGTGACAGTACTCTCAGATGAAGTTGCTCCCCACTCCACCCTGATGGGGTCCCTAGCCTGCCCACTGGGCAGCAAATTGCGCCTCTGGAGGACTGCAGCCCAGGGCAGAAGCAGGCCTTGGGGAGCTGTGCTGCAGAGGCCGACGGGAAACAAACAACTGGTGGGGGGCAGGGAAAGGGGACAAGATACAGTTGATGAAGATGATAACAACAATGAGTGTAGCCAACAGCTACCAAATGCCACATGTCAGGTACGCATTAATAGCCCGCTTTCCAAAGAAACTGAGGCACAGAGAAGTTGAATAACTTGGACAGTGGCAAAGCAAGGACTTGAACCTGGGCAGCCAGGCTATAAAGCTGCACTCTCAATCATTGGGTGTTTGTCTCCCCCT